AGTCACGAAATCAAGGGAATTAGCGAAAACCAGATTTAAAGTAGATGGTATTCGGTTGTCCATACACCTAGTGGGGAAGTACACGAACTGGTGCAAATGCACTTGGAGAGTCAGCTCAAGAAAGTCTGCACCGAATGTTCCTGACGTCGAATTGCAAGAAGGATCGACCCAACAGACTTCCGGGAGGCTGAAATCCCCCAGAACTAAACACTTATTCGTGAACTGAGGGCGAATAAAGTCTATTATCCCCTTGGAAGGAGTTCCAGGACTCCTTTATATCACTACAACCTTAAAATGGGTAGAGGAAGTTCACAAAACAGCCGATAGGGCTTCAACAGTCTGATCCGACTACTGGAATAGGCAGGTCCCCAACACATGTCACAGCTCACAGTACAACGCCACAGCTTTGGCACCCAACGGAGTGATCAGTTCTAAGCAGTGCATAGCCAGGCAAACATACCGTCCGTTATATCCGGAGACAACCACATTTCAATGAAAGCAAGTAGTACGTCGGGAGGAGATTTGTCTGCAAGTAAACCCAACTCGTGTACCTTGTTCCTTAGGCTACGCATGTTGCTAAGTACTACCACAAGGAAGTCAGCACGACCGTCTCTGGGTTGTGCGTCACCAGGATGGGTTCTAATAGGGCGGAAAATAACTTCCGGCTGGCCACCTAAAAACCCACCAGTTGAACCCGTTCCAGCAAATAGTCCGGTGGTAGTGTTCCAAGTGGTGGATTTTCGCCTGACAAGCGTTCTCTCCATAAAAAACTACAAATGTTTGCTTAACAACACTGTGACGTGGCGTTCGTGACTAGCCACAAAAGAAAGTCACTGCCACGTGGATATCCGGATAGGCCTTTCCAACCCACGGACACCAATCTTCTACTCGCATATTACAGACAAAATGTCACGGGAGAGATGGCATATGAAAACGGCCTAGCAGGTATCTGAGATATGGTACAAATCACAATCGCAACAAGACTGCACCTTAACGTGGTGCGACGGTTTGCATACCTCATTGACCCACTGAGCTATACTGGGTGATGCCTCCGAGCATCTTGAGAGCTACTCCTACCAGGTTGGTCAATGGTGAGAGGTCAGACAAACTCAGTCTCCTGGTCCTCCAGGTTGGGGGTTTGAAATGGAATGGCGTCCATTTCTGTAAAACTAAATCATTGCCACATCCTCGCTGCCTTGCGAACAGGCTTTGAGCCAAAGGCTTCGGTTGGGGACCTTAATCGTCTTCCAATCTAAGTCTGGACGCACTGGCAGTATCTCAGCCCACATACAACCATGACATCTTCAAACATAAACTTCATCCTGCATCGGCCGTCGCGCAGATTATCAAGGGTCGCCTTATCTGCTGCATACAGCAGGAATGAGGATGACTCCTTATTCCTTAAAACGGACTCCTTGTAGCCCAATGCCAAACCCGCTGCCTTGCGGTCAGGTTTTTTTAACCAAAGGCTTTGGTTGAGAACCCTAATCGTTCTCCTGTCTAGGCCTGAGCAACCTGACAGTATCCTGCCCACGCAATACAATGAATCACACTTCAAACAAATTTCTGATGCTCTGGCCACCGCAGAGGATAATCAACGGTGCCCTATCTGCTGCATCGGGCAGGGTAGGTAGGGGTTTGGATGCTACTGCTCAAGCCTTCCCGTCTTCTTATTCCCTCTCTTATGCTTTTTCACCCTTATCGTCCCGTTCCAGCTTCACTTTTATCCCCCCTGTTTTCAACCCCCCAAATTCTCGGCCCTCCCCCACCTTGCTTCAATAGTCACTTGCCTTTTAGTTTCAACTCACATGTGAACGCGGAGCGTCATTCCTGCCTTGTCAACAGGCCCACGTCCAAACAAGCAGTCTACTCCAGTTCATCGGCTTCCATTTGGAGCCCTCGATCCTCCATCAGATTGGCATCTCAATGTTCGCACATTGCTTCAGATTGGTCAACAGGCAGCACTTGCCCGAACAGAGACCTTATCGATCGATATCTGCTGCTTATCGGAAACCCGCGTGCAAGACTCGAGCTCTGTGCTCACTCTACGATCCCCTTCAGGTGACACTAGCAGCACTTTCTCGTTGCGCCTATCCAGTGACGATGCAGCTTCGAGCACCGGCCAAGCCGGTGTTGGTATTGCCCTGAGTCGCCGGGCTGAAGCTACTCTGGTTCATTGGATTCCAATCAGTAGCCGGACGTATGCGGTCCGATTGGCTGGCTCATTCAAACCTTCGAAGTCACGTGAGACTAACAGGTGTCTATTCGTTATCGCTGCCTATGCACCCATAAACTCTAACGAGGATTCGGTAAACGACGACTTCTATCGTCAACTGAACGAGCTCCTTAGCCACAGAAGAAGCTCGGACACTGTAATGCTGGCTGGGTATCTGAACGCTCAAGTTGGAAAATTATCCACAGATGAGCTGCATCTGGGCGGCCAACATGGTATAGGCTCCCGTAATGATAACAGCGAGCGGTTACTTCATTTGTGTGAGGATCCTCGCTTATTTCTTGCGAGCACTAATTTCAGACACAGCACCCGCCGGAGGGCGATTTGGCGCCCCCCAGTCTCGAACCAGCTATGGACGCAAATCGATCACATTGATATCATCTACCGCTGGAGAGGCTGCGTCCAGAATTGTCGCTCGATTTGGAGCACATGTGTGGACACCGATCATGCACTTGTATGTCCTGATATTCGGATGCGTTTTGGCGGACGCCCAAGATGACGTTGTGAGCGCATTGACACAAGGCGACTGGCGAAGCCAGCTGTCCTGAATGCCTATCAAAGTACGCTGTCATGCGAGTTGGATAAACGCTCACTGGATGCAATTGAAGCTCACTGGTATCATATTCACCAGACTTTACTAGCAGCAGGAAAATCCTCATGTGGTGTGTCTAATCGCCAACATGGACATTGGGTCTCTTCACAGTCTCCGGAACTTATCGATGCTCGCCAGCATATTCCGGCTGGAATCGAACACAATGAAACTCGCAAAGAGCTCCGGGCAAAACTCCGTGCTAGCCTGAAGAGAGACCGCGAAT